TCAGCCCCCTGGCCTCACACCATGGTACCCCAAGGGCAGTGATTCCCTGATGCGGTAACAATCTCGTGAACCCTAAACCCTAAGCCCTAAACCCTGAACCCTAAACCCTACACCCTACCTGCACCGCCCCGACGAGCCTTGAATGAAGGGGACTTATCCACCCTACTACTATGGTTAAAGGGCAGTTCGGGGGGGGGTGCTGGTAAACCAACCCTACACCCTAGACCGTAAACCCTACAACTAAGCCAGGCTCTCCGTCTTGGACCAACCCTTGCACCGACCCTGCGTCCCGGCGCCCAGTGTGCCTTGTGGCTTTGTGGGGGCAGTAGGGGGCCTGTACCATCTTGTCAAGATTAATACTATATTCTTGCGTTTGCGTGTAGTATGATTGAAAATCCGTTCGTAAACTTACTCCATTAAACCCCTACAAAGGGCGCTAAGGGAACCGGCAGAAGCGCTCTCTAATTCTCTTACTCACCCAGGTGTTACGGTACTATTGCAATTTTCTGGTGCTTTGAGACGTGCCTTAGCTACCGTATTTTCGCTGGGTCGCTGGTATTAATATTCCCTGAGCTCTTGGCGTGTCACCTTTGCTCCAAATTCTGGGTCATTCTACCCTTACCTTTGATCCCATGTTAGCTGGGTCATTCAGTACGTACACTCTGTTCAGACTTTGAGCCTCTTGAAGCAAGTTGATAGGGGGCTTCAGGACTTTGAGGGTTCCGTGTCCAAGGTTGCTGAGTTTGCTGCAGACGGGCTTTTTCAGGTTCCTCACGCACCTCCAAGGGGCCATGTACCTCATGATAGGCACCCTTCAGCCGACCTTAAACCCGAAACCCCAAGCCTGAAAGCCCTAGTCTAAAGCCTGAACCCTCCCACCCTAAACGCAAGCCGAAACCTGGCTAAGGGGGTACGACCAGTACCTCGACAAGGTTCACTTCATGTCAGCCGGAAGAGGCACGACAGGGATTTAGATTTCAGGCTTTAGGGTTCACACCTTTTTTCACAAAAGCTAGCTTGCTGGCAGCTCACGGCCGTTGTCTGCCTCGCAGGTCGAAAATTACGACTCGGACCTTACTGTTTTGATACCTCAGGTGTTAATGGCTTGTAGGGGGGAGGGGTGTCATTGCCGGGCCCCTTAGATTGATGTTTGCAACTGAACAGCCGCCACCCCATGAGCCCCCCCCCACCCGGGTTTGGGGCCGTTGAAATTTCTACGCCCCAGACCCGAATGCCCTGCACACCAGGGATGACGACGCCTCTGATCGAATCGCGAGCGCGCTCCTAGATGCCCTGGTACCAGGGCCCGCGAGGCCGGGGCCGTCGAGGTTGAGGTTCAGTAAACCTTATATAATCCCTCGAACCTGCACTTGACCAGGGTTTTTGGAATTCAGGGTTTTGGGGCTTCGGTTTTTGATTCAGGGGGTTTGGGCGTTTTGGGGTGGGGGGGGGGGGGGCTTTCGGGGGTTTGGGGGGGGATTAGGCGGTTTGGTGTTTTTTCACGGCGTCCCATGCGAGGTGGCTTCCGATGTCGTGCATGACCGCGCGCGTGCTGAATGTGCGGGCGCCCCAGGAAAAGAACCCTAAACCCTAAACTTCAAGCTCCCAGTTGGAGGGCCGGGTCTGGGTCGGCTGGGTTTGGCTCAGGTCGAGGCCATCTTCGAGTTAAGGAAATGGTGGTTTCCGAAATGAGGGCTTCCGTATTGGGGGCCTTATCATAAGCTGGGTTTTGGAGTACTATACTTGAGTGCTTTTTTGGGTTCTGGGTTCCAATTATCGCTACCTACACCTAAAAAGTACGTACTTTTTCTTTCCAGGGTCTACTCCGAAGTAGGGTAAGGGAACCCTACCATATCTTCGTAAACCTCCAGATTGCGTGCGAGTTCTGAATGCGGAGCTAGGGGGCTGGGTGCCTTGTACTTGAAGGTTCATGGGTAGTTATACGTAGAGGGTTTAGGGTTAAGTTTTTGGGTTTAGGGATTAGGGTGAGAGTTGAGGGTTTAGGGTCTAGGGTTTAGGGTTTAGGGTTTAAGGTTTAGGGTTAGAAGTAAGGTAATCCATATTGTAACTTTAACTAGGGCACTTAAGCCCTACATATTGCTGCCCACCATTCATTTTAATACTAATATTTATTTACTGGAATTATAAGGATAAGAGAATTAGACTCACGGTATTAATGGGACTCACTGTATTATACTAAGAGCCCCCGTGAATTATAAACGAAAGAATACCCGAATTAATTTATAGCGGCCGTTATAATATCTTCTTTGGGCCGCATTCATTCTATTCTTCTTTCTCTTCTTTGCAAAGAAATATAAAAAGGCAAAATTCATATTAATACGCGAACTAGGGCACTTAAGCCCTACATATTGCTGCCCATTCACCTTCAAGTATCCCCTGATGCAGCCCTGTTCTGGATGGGCGCTTAGGTTTTGAGTGAGGCTTGTTGACATGTGGGGAAGTGATTCGAAGGAAAAAAGGGTTTAGGGTTTAGGGTTTAGGGTTTCCAGAGCATGGGATGGAAGCTGAGATCTTCCATAATCGCGGGTCAGGGTTTAGCGTGCGCTGGTTTGAGGTGCATCAAGTTCCTATGTCACGACTCGAGTACGTCGCTTTTGTGAACAAGGGACGATGAAGCTACACTAGACCCTAAACCCTATAAACCCTATAAACCCTATAAACCCTATAAACCCTATAAACCCTATAAACCCTATAAACCCTATAAACCCTATAAACCCTATAAACCCTATAGACCCTATAAACCCTATAGACCCTATAGACCCTATAAACCCTATAAACCCTATAAACCCTATAAACCCTATAAACCCTACAAACCCTATAAACCCTATAAACCCTATAAACCCTATAAACCCTACAAACCCGGTAAACCCGGTAAACCCTATAAACCCTAAAAACCCTATAAACCCTATAAACCCTGTAAACCCTATAAACCCGATAAACCCTATAAACCCTATAAACCCTATAAACCCTATAAACCCTATAAACCCTATAAACCCTATAAACCCTATAAACCCTATAAACCCTATAAACCCTATAAACCCTATAAACCTATAAACCCTATAAACCCTATAAACCCTATAAACCCTATAAACCCTATAAACCCTATAAACCCTATAAACCCTATAAACCCTATAAACCCTATAAACCCGAACCTTGGTGTTGCCGAAGCTGCCGAGGCGTATGCACCCTGGTGCGCCGCGGAACCTCCCTTCAACATCGTTTTACCTTGGCAAAAAAAGGAGCTTACATCTTCCCTTTCTTGGGGTTTGGGGTTTAGGGTATAGGGTTTAGGGTTTAGGGTATAGGGTTTAGGGTTTAGGGTTTAGGGTAAACAAGAGCTTGATAGGCCCTTGGGATATTTAATATCTTCCCTTATTGGGGTTTAGGGTTTAGGCCCTTGTGGGACTGTTATATATTTTCCCTTCTTGGGTTTAAGAGGATCAAGGGCCGTCTTAGAAAAGGGTTTTTGGCCGGTGCCGCTCGAAAAGCCCTGAAGGCCCTGAAGCCTAAAGCTTCGAGTTCAGGGTTGAAGGTTTAGGGTTTACAGGGTTTAGGGTTTTGGGCTTAGGGTTTAGGGTTTAGGGTTTTGAAGTTGGCGTGCATACTGAGGTTCTGGTGGCGACTACTCTGGAGCCTTAAGCCCTGAACCCTGAAACCCTGAAGCCCTGAAACCCTGAAACCCTGAAACTCTGAAACCTTGAATCTGAAAGCCTTCGAGTCCCAGCCCTAGACCCTAAACCCTAAACCCCAAACCCCAAATCCCAAACCCTAAACCCCAAACCCTAAACCCTAAACCCCAAAACCCTAAACCCTAAACCCTAAACCCTAAAACCCCAAAGCCCTAAAACCCTAAACCCTAGACCCTAAACCCTAAACCCCAAGACCCTAAACCCTACCCCCCCCCCCCCCCCCCCCCCTCGCTCCGAAGCCCCGAATGGCCGAGCTCAAGTTGCTGGAGAGGCCCCAAGGTAGCTAGCCCCGCCACATACGGCATTAGGGCCTGAGGGTTTAGGGTTTAGGGTTTAGGGTTTAGGGTTTAGGGTTCGGGTTTAGGGTTTAGGGTGTAGGGCGGGCCCATCTAGGCTTAGGTTGCGGGGCGCAACCCAGCTTAAACTCCGAGCCCTCCGAGCCCTCCAACCCCTCAAAGCTCTAAATGCTAAGAACCCTAAAGAACCCTAAAGAACCCTAAAGAACCCTAAAGAACCCTAAGGACCCTAAGAGTCCTACGAACCCTCAGAACCCTAAGAGCCCTAAGAGCCCTCAGAACCCTAAGGGCCCTCTCTAGGCGCGAAGAACCGCCTGAGGCAGATGCGTTGAGGGGTTGGGGTCCTCCTAGCTGGTCATGCTCTCCTCACCATCCCTTCAGCTGGCCCCTTAGGGCCTTTATAACTTTACTCATCCTTCATAAGGTAGCCAAAGAGGCCAAACTTGAATTAGGTTCCCCTTCTTGTCTTTAAGGGGGGTTCCTTGAAAGGTCCCCCAAACAAGGGGCCCGAATGTCGATCAACCCCGAATTGGAGCAAACCTCCACCCTCGATAGTTGCGGCCCTTTTGGGTTTACGGTTTAGGGTTTCGAGAAACCCTCAACCCAGTTCTCTGATGTATGGCTCTGGCTGCATGATGCCCCGAACTCATGAAGGGGACTCGTACTTTGGAGAAATGAGGCCTAGGGTTGGGGGTATTGGGTTGAAGCTGCATAGTGTCTAGCGGCCTAGAGAAACTCGGCACCCGGTACCCTCAAAATAGGACCCTCCACCCCTGCCCCCAACAACAAAAAAGGGACCCTAAACCTAAACCCTAAACCCTACACCCTATGCCCTGAACCCTAAACGCGAGAGGGAGAGAGTGAACGTACTCAACATCAACGTCAGCTTCGTTTGTTGTTTAGATATCCGGGCTACTTAAAGGTAACATCGTCGCAGCCGTTAAACCCCAAACACTAAGGCCCCCTTCCCCCACTAGCCTTAGAGGGACACGGAATGGTGGCCTCCAGGAGGGTTGCTGCCTGCATCTTGATGGCCGGCGCCGCAGCGGCGGACTACCGCTGCTCCCCTGTGCTGAACGATACCTTACGAACACGACTGTCGCTTCGGAGCTGCGAGCATCTCCTGGCCTCGAGGTGCGGCTTTCAAAACACCCTGGTAGAAGCGCCCGGAAGTTGCGCGGCCACCGATTCAGACATGCCTCCCCCCGCGACGTCTTTCTTTCCGGGCACCAAGGCCAGTGAACTGGGCTGCATCGCGCGCTCCTCGACCTTCGGTCGCGCCCTGTGGTGCCTCGCGCGAGGGGTGAACACCGCGATGGAGCTTTTCACCGGCGTGGGCGGCGGCTCCACGCTCCTGCTCGCGCACGCTTTGTCTGCGCACCGGCCTGGCCGGCGGGGTGCGCCGCGTTCCTTCTTCACCGTGGAGAGGCACCTGGGCAACGCCTATCATGCCCAGAACGTCCTGGAGAGCGTTGGGATTCCGGCCCAGGTCCTTTCCTTAGCCCGCCCAGGTGGGCTGACCAGCAGCATGGCAGCGCTTGTAAAGGAGCAGCCGGGGGTTTGGATTTTGCACGGAGACGTCTTCGAGAATCTGGGTGTTTTCGAGGCGCTTTGCGGCGCCATCGGGGGCCTCGACCTGGTAATGCTCCTTGGCCCTTGGGATGTTTTTGTATGTCTTCCCTTATTGGGGTTTAAGAGGGAACATATTCGGAACCCTAACCCCTAAACCCCTAAACCCCTAAACCCCTAAACCCCTAAACCCCTAAACCCCTAAACCCCTAAACCCCTAAACCCCTAAACCCCTAAACCCCTAACCCCCTAACCCCTAACCCCCTAACCCCCTAAACCCCTAAACCCCTAAACCCCTAAACCCCTAAACCCCTAAACCCCTAAACCCCTAAACCCCTAAACCCCTAAACCCCTAAACCCCTAAACCCCTAACCCCTAACCCCTAACTAAACCCTAAGTCCTTCTTGGGCTGAATAGGGTCACAGTCAGAAAACACATGTCACGGTTTTTTAAAGGCCCCTCCTAGGCTCGATCCGCCCCTGGACATGCGGAACGTGTGGCCGCTGCTGGAGGCGGCGTGCAAGCCGAAGCTCCTCGGAGTCCAGTAGGCCCCATTGTTTAGGGGGTTTCGAATCCTCATAACCCATCCTAAACCCTACACCCCAAACCCTAAACCCTAAATCCTAGATCCTAAACCCTACACCCCAAACCCTAAGCCCTACCCCATCCCGACACCCTACACCCTAAACCCTATAAACCCTATAAACCCTATAAACCCTATAAACCCTATAAACCCTATAAACCCTATAAACCCTATAAACCCTATAAACCCTAAAAACCCTATAAACCCTAAAAACCCTATAAACCCTATAAACCCTATAAACCCTATAAACCCTATAAACCCTATAAACCCTATAAACCCTATAAACCCTATAAACCCTATAAACCCTATAAACCCTATAAACCCTATGAACCCTAAAAACCCTATAAACCCCCAAAACCCTGAACCCCAAACCCTAAACCCTACACCCTATACACCCTATACACCCTATACACCCTAAACCCTATAAACCCTAAACCCCTTTGTTCCTAGTTTTTCTTTCAGGCGGTTGGGGGAACCCCGAGGTTCTTGGCCGTGCACAATGCCAACCTGCCCGGCCACGCAGGGTGGCTCCCAGCCCACCTACGGCGCCAGCCTGGGAACAGGCAGACGGGCTCCGAAAAAACACGCTAGCCCTAAACCCTAGACCCTACACCCTAAATCCTAAATCCGAAATCCTAAACCCTAAACCCCTAACCCCTAAACCCTAAACCCTAAACCCTATACCCTAAACCCTAAACCCTAAACCCTAAACCCTAAACCCTAAACCCTGAACCCTAAACCCTGAGGTGGTACGAGATGATGAACGGGTCCCATCCTTCTGTTTGGGAGCGGGGCGTGCGCTCCTGGTCGCTGATGGGCCAGTGCTGGTGACGCTGCTAGGGTGTAGGGTTTAGGGTTTAGGGTTTAGGGTTTAGGGTTGAAGGTTTAGAGTTTAGGGTTTAGGGTTTAGGGTTTAGGGTTTAGTTTGCCAGGGAAGCAACGAAGCCACGTGGAACAGCAGCGGAAAGTGGCATAGGGCAGTAGACCCGAAACCCAAAACCAAACCCTAAACCCTAAACCCTGAACCCTAAACCCTAAACCCTAAACCCTAAACCCTAAACCCCAAACCCTGAACCACATAGACCACGAAAGCCCGGGTTCTTGCTTCAAGGGCCTCGGAGTAGGGGGGTCTGGTCGAGTTGCAGCTTGAGATCTGTGTTTCAGACTAGGGCTTATGATAAACCAAGGAGGCTCCGCCTCGCGGCCTCAGGATGTCAGAAAAACGGTTTAGGGTTTAGGGTTTAGGGTTTAGGGTTTAGGGTTTAGGGTTTAGGGTTTAGGGTTTAGGGTTTAGGGTTTGGGTAAAACCCTAAGCCCTAAACCACAGGCTGGAACCCTAAACTCGCAACCCTAAACTGCCTGCCGGACACTGCTCGCTTTGGCTATGCAGGCTGCCTGAGAACGATTGGGGGCCAGTACATGTCTTGTATGTATATGTAGGTGTATATACGTATATGTATATATATATATACATATTTCGTATATAATAAGAATAACACCATCTATCTATCTGTATATATACACACACACATAACATACTCTCACACTTTTCGGCCTCCCGTTCTGACCCTTTCAGCGATCACGTGCAGCGATTGCAAGTTTAGTCGAGGCCGTTTGGGAGATACTGTTTCTTTCACGTCGGGTTTAGGGCTTAGGGCTTAGGGTCTAGGCCCCTCCCCGTGAACCTCAGAGCAAGCCATGGCAAACGCAGACAGCCTGCAAGAAATACTCGCCTCGGCGGGGGTCCTGGACTTGAGAGGTTCTCAACCCTATACGCCTTAAAACGCTCAACCCTCTAGCCCTGAATTGGTAGTTGGACGGGTAGCTTCCCCCAGATACCTCTTGTACCCTAGACTACCAGGGTTTAGGGTTTAGGGTTTAGGGTAGGGTTTAAGGTATATCATTACAACCTAAACCAACAACCCTATGCAGCCGAATTCCTTTGCACCGCAATCCCGAAACGGAACTTTGGGCTTTCTTTGGGTGGGGGAGGGGGTGGGTTGAGCCGGGCTGAACGTCCCTTAGAAGCCCTGATGCCTTCAAGCCCTAAACCGCAAAACCTATAGACCCCAACAAGCTCCCCCAAGGTCGAGGCAACCCCCACACCCAAAACTGAGGTAGCATAATATGAGGGTAGCATATCATGTACTATGTCAGCCTATGATGGTACCTGTGGTTGGGTTCCTTGACGAGAGCCCAAACAAAAAAATGGCTTAAATCCCAAGTCCTGCAGTAAACCCGAATCCTTCATTTGGGCTCTTGTGTATTAGAACACCTTATGGTGCTACCTGACGTTAGGTTCCTTGCTTATCAAGAGCCCAAGCAAATAACTAAACCCGATTCAGCAAACCGTCGAATCATGTATGGATGAATGCATTCTCTGCTTTTCCAATCACCAATTCTCAGTTTTCGTTTTGCTTTTTTTAAATCCAAGCATGCTAGCGGCACTGGCAACCCTAAACCCTAGACCCGAGACCCTAGAACCCTAGAACCCTAGAACCCTAGAATCCTAGAACCCTAGAACCCTAGAACCCTAGAACCCTAGAACCCTAGAACCCTAGAACCCTAGAACCCTAGAACCCTAGAACCCTAGAACCCTAGAACCCTAGAACCCTGGAACCCTGGAACCCTGGAACCCTAGAACCCTAGAACCCTAGAACCCTAGAACCCTAGAGAACCCTAGAGAACCCTAGAGAACCCTAGAACCCTAGAACCCTAGAGGACCCTAGAGGACCCTAGAGAACCCTAGAGAACCCTAGAGAACCCTAGAGAACCCTAGAGAACCCTAGAACCCTAGAACCCTAGAACCCTAGAACCCTAGAACCCTAGAACCCCAGAACCCCAGAACCCCAGAACCCCAGAACCCCAAACCTAAACCCCAAACCCTAAACCCTAAACCCTAAACCCTAAACCCTAAACCCTAAACCCTAAACCCTAAACCCTAAACCCTAAACCCTAAACCCTAAACCCTAAACCCTAAACCCTAAACCCTAAACCCTAAACCCTAACCCTAAACCCTAAACCCTAAACCCTAAATCCTAAACCCTAAACCCTAAACCCTAAACCCTAAACCCTAAACCCTAAACCCCAAACCCCAAACCCTAAACCCTAAACCCTAAACCCTAAACCCTAAACCCTAAACCCTAAACCCTGGATTTGGCTTATCATACCCTGACATGTTCACAACCCAAAGCCCTGGTTCCCAGGTGGGGAAGGTGCTGGAGGGCCAAGCCTGGCGCCCTGCAGTTGCAGGGTTTAGGGTTTAGGGTTTGGGGTTTGGGGTTTGGGGTTTGGGGTTTGGGGTTTAGGGTTTGGGGTTTAGGGTTTAGGGTTTAGGGTTTAGGGTTTAGGGTTTAGGGTTTAGGGTTTAGGGCTTGGGTTGAGTGTTCTGGGAAAGACCTCGTGCTTAGGTGCTGAGTTCCCGTTGGGAACAAAGAGGTAACCCTTGGGTTTCAAGGGGTTTTATGCTGCCCCAAAAGGTTAAAGGTTACCCACCCGTACTTGAAACTTGAGAGAATTCGTGGGCATGGCCGAAGGCTCCACATGGAGCAGGGTTTAGGGTTTAGGGTTTAGGGTCTAGGGTTGAGTTTAGGGTTTAGGGTTTCAGGTATACGGTTTAGGGTTTAGGATTTCAGGTGTAGTGTTTAGGTTTTTTGGCGTTTAGAGTTTAGGGTTTAGGGTTTAGGGTTTGGGGTGCTGGGTGGGTAACCTTTAAACCTTTTTTGGGGAACGCTCAGCTCAAGCCCTAAGCCCTAAGCCCTAAGCCCTAAACCCTAAACCCTAAACCCTAAACCCTAAGCCCTAAACCCTAAACCCTACATCCTAAACCCTAAACCCTAAACCCTAAACCCTAAACCCTAAGGCTTCGGTTCTTTTGCCATCCCCGAAGCTTATTCCTTGGACCCTAAGCCTTGGGAAGTTCCCCCTTGTACTAACAGCCTTAGTAGGCATTAGGGTTTAGGGTTTAGGGTTAGGGTTTAGGGTTTAGGGTTTAGGGTTTAGGGTTATCATACAAATTTCGATATTCCTCATTACGGGCTGTTCGTATAAGGGGGAGCATCCCAACTACCCCAATGCCATCAAAAAGGCAGGGCTTCCATAGAAACTGGCGCTTGCTTGGAGGTTCATGGTACTTAACCCCGAAACCCTAAACCCTAAACCCTAAACCCTAAACCCTAAACCCTAAACCCTAAACCCCTAAGTAACCTTATAAGAGTGAGGCCCAGTTGCAGAGCGCCTTGGAGGTGTTGACCGAGGAGCTCGGCCGGGGTTTGGGGTCCCAAATCGAAGCCCCCTAAACCCTAAACCCTAAGCCCTAAAACCCTAAACCCTAAACGGCCCTAAACCCTAGACCCTAAACCCTAAACCCTAAACCCTAAACCCTAAACCCTAAACCCTAGACCCTAAACCCTAAACCCAAGGTCGGGGCGTAGAACCCTGCATCCCTCCTATGCCTTCTGCATTGATTCTAGGGACCTCGGTGGTATTGTTTATCCTTTCTTCAGCAGTGTGGCTCCCTTACAAACACCAGGAAACACGAAAAAGGGTTTAGGGTTTAGGGGTTTAGGGTTTAGGGGTTTAGGGTTTAGGGGTTTAGGGTTTAGGGTCCTTTCTGCTTTCTCTCTAGGTTCTCGGGAACCTATCGGAACCTAAGCCCCCCAAAGCTGTAAACTTGAAGCTCTGAACCCTAAAGCCCCAAACCCCAAAAAGCCCCAAACCTGAAACGCCCTTAAGCCAACGAGTTCAAAACCCTAAACCCTAAACCCTAAACCCTATTCCCACCTGTGTGACGTAAACCATGGTAGGACCGTGGTAGTGATGGTGGTGGTGATGGTGCTCGTGAATGTGGGTCGAGTTGTCAAGGTGGTAGTGCTTGTGACGATGTAGGAAGGTGTTGCATGCGTGTTGCCGGACATAGTGATGGTGGTGGTGGTGGTGGTAGATGTTGGTGCACACATTCACCCTGGTGGCCTTGGACGCCAAACTCCGCCAAAGATCCTAAAACACTGTGCCTAAATTGGCCTAAACCTCAGGGTCTCTGGCTGTAGGGTTGCATTGTGGTGTTGGGTGTTTGGGGACGTAAGGCTTTTGGTGGAAGAGGGCCTTCCCGAATCGCACGCCTGTCCTGACGCTGAGAAGCGACCCGATCTGGCAAGGAGCAAGTGGATGGCGATGAAGACACGTCGCTACAGCAGGGCGGCCACAGACGCTCTGGTTCCCATGAGGAGCAGTCGCAGCACCAGTCACCAGGTCACGGGCGACGTGAACGACTTGTAGATGAAGCGCAAGCAGGAGGATACGAGCCATTCATCGGCAGCTTTCCGCAGCTTCGCCACAGTGCCACTCACTTCTACACGCAAAATGCACAATTGGCATTACCATGAACCAGTGGGGCTGGCTATTGCGCAGAACACTCAGAGCCCTAAAGGCTCCCGAAACCCGAGGGTTCAGGGTTTAGAGTTTAGGGTTTAGGGTTTAGGGTTTAGGGTTTAGGGTTTAGGGTTTAGGGTATAATGGCATTCTCTGGGAGAGCAAGTATCATTCCGGCTCACAAACACATTGCTTGACTAGCGAATGCTCGGACTTGAGATGCTGGTAGAACCCGAAACGCCCTTAAGCCCACATGAGACAAGTACACCCCTTGCAACACCCTGAAGCCCCAAAGCCCTAAGGCCCTCCGAGCCCTAAGCTCTTACAACCCCCAAAAAGCCCCACAACCCTAAACTTAGCCTTAAACTCCCAACAACCACAAAACAACTAAGAAAACAGCACAACACAAAGCAAACATGACAAAACAAAACAAAAAACAAAACTAACCAAAGCAAAACAGA